CTACTTTGTGATACCTTCTTAAGGTATTTCCATGATTGGGAATTTCACCATGGCAATACCACTTTAATTGCGAGTAACAATTTACTTCATAAGGAAGAAGATGGGTTGAGCCAAAAGCTGAATAAGAATGCGGCTGTCAACATCATAACTCCTAATGTCATAAAATGAAAGTCAACAGGCTGCCTTTCAAATAATGTCCATTGAGGCATGTTTCTTGAACAACATTGAGTTAGATTCAAGTAATAACTTTTCTCCAAGTTCAAATTGTGGGTCATTTTTTCTGCATTTATTCCCACCACAGATGCATTGGCGTATGGCAATTTCATTAATTTTGTCATTCATGCTCATTGGATCATCAAGTATACACATCAGCAGGCTACACCAACATGCCCATGGAGTGCAACTCCCCATAGTCATGCAGATCACTCATCTTTCTTTTTAACAATTTTTAAATTGTTTGGATTGTCTTGATTATGCTAAATTTAGAAATATATCTGTTTTCTTATTATAGTTTTTTATCAGCATCGTAATTTAATATACTCCATGCGAAAATCTTTCCAATATGCACTAACGAAAAGACAAGTATTAACTAAATATTGTCTACCATGGCCAAGCAAATAACTTATTGGTTGTTACATAAAGACCAATTCATTACAACAAAGCAAGAAATACAAAGTCCTATCCTTTTCATTGCTTAAAAAAAAAAATATTAGGGCACGAGAGTGTCTCATTTACAAAATCACTTTCTTTATTCTATTTTCCTTTTTATTTCATTTCGTTCTGTATACCAATTACCAAATAGCATCTCATTGATTATGACACATGATCACTCAATAATTTAATTATCAAATCAATCAAAATAAAATATAAAATCTCTACCAACTTACGCTATTCACATGCTATATTCTATAAACAGCACAATTCATTCCCTCAACTCCAAATGATACACAAGACTCGCGTCTACTTGTCTATTATAAAGGTGACAGGGAATACTCTATTAATACTGGCTGTTTTACTCGCATGAACTCCCTCTCCTGTTTACTTGTCAATTGAAATTGAAACTTCTCATTTCTTCTCCTTATGGTTCTGGGTAAGAGCCCTATTATATTTATCTTTCATGTATACACCAGCAAACTAAACCTTAGATATTTTTAGTATTATGTATACTTTCAAAGACAAGTAAATAACAAAACGTGAAAATCAACCAACATAAAAAAGGAATAGAAACAGTTCACTTCAATTTTGATTCCACCCCTAATTTGTTCACACATTGTGAAAAATATTTACTTATTTAAGGACATTATTGTTTTAATTCTGCTATTTGCAACTATCTCTAGAGAAGTTGTCCAGAAGACTAAGTAGAGAGAAGTGCATGTTGGCATGAAAGTATATATTCCTCGTTTTAAATAATAAGACACTTTTAAACAAAATTTTATATATCAATAAAGCTCATTAAATACATCTTACAACCTTACTTTTTCAAAAAAAAATATAAACTTTTAAAAATTCTTTCATTCAACACTTCATTAACAAAAAAATATTGAAAAGAGAGAATATATGAGAAATGTAACATTGAAAAAGCATCATTGATGAAATCTTATTTTAAAAGTGTTTTATATTTTGGAGCTCTCAATTGTTTTAAAAAAATATCTTATAATTTGAGAGGAAAGAATTAAAAGCGAAGTGTTAGAAATATATTAAAAACAAGCGGCATTCCCCTGATAACTTACTTCCGAATTGAAATGTTCAGCAAAAGCAACAAGGCAATAACTGCCACAGGACAAGAAGAAGCAAACCTGCTGCGGAAGATGATTCCCCGTTCCGTAGCCGCGACCGCGCCGATATATTAGGGCTTTGGTCCCAGGACGGAGCACTCCAAGTCGAAGTACTATCTGAAATAATGCCATTATCAGCCCAAGTTCCACTGCCTGAACTCTTTACTCTGCTCTGATTTACCAACTCCTTCTTTCCTTCACTTGCTGACCCTGAGCTTCCATTACCACCAAGTCTAGAGAGGTTACTTGCGCCAAGGGTGGACCCCTTGTCATTTCTAAATCCCAAAAAACTCTCCTGCGGCAACGGTCCTGATCTCGTCTTTATCCTGTTCAATCCAAGGGAAGATGCTAAAATTGGAGAAACCGAGGACGATGAAGATTCCTTTGCGTCAACCGCCGCCGCCTTCTTTGACTTCGACTCCGAGCTCGAATCCAATTCCGCCCCGGAGCTAGGCCTCGAACCTGTCAGTCGGGACTCTGCTCGAGTTTGACTTTCCTTATCCTTGACATCCTTCTTGATCCCTTCCTTCACTTGCAACTGGCGGCGCACGGCGGCGACACCGAGCCCTCTGCCACCGCTAACAGCGCTGCTGCTGGTATTAGCGATCTGGGCTTCTTTGGCAGTTGATTTCACCTTCTTCTTCTCGGATCTGCTGGGTGAATTGGAACCAAGTGATCGCGGGCTATTGGACGATCCATCAGGGCTTGAAGAGTCAGATTTCTTGGAGGAGAAGAACCTTCCCTTGAAGACCATGACGAGAGGCGTGATGGAGAAACACGCAGGGGAAGCTCACGAAATGAGTGTGGCCCTAGCATAGGTGCAGGGCTGCGGAGAGGAACATTGAAGACGAAATTGAAACTGAAAATTACGTCGGGACAAAGAATGTGTGTGAACCCAGACGGAGAGGGAATCGGGGAAATGTCTGCTTCAAAGTTTTGGATTGGGGACTCCAACGAAAGGAAAAACACGAATGACTTGTGAAAATGAGAGGACAATTTTATAACGGAGTTGAAAGTGGAAACACAGTTTGAACCTTCTTTGAAGGTTTATAAATATTTGTTCTATTTCAATTCATATCGTTCCGTGGATTGTTAACAGATTTGAATTTAAAAGCAATAACAACTTTTTTTTTATTGGTAAAGCAATAAGAATTACTTCACTCATTTTAATAAAATATAATTTTTTAATAAAATAATTACTTACTTTTAAATCAATCTTATTTCTTTATATTTATTCATATTAAATACTCTATAATAAATATAAAGTCATTTATCAATAGAGACACTTTAAAAAAAAAAAATAATTACATTTTAAAAAATTAAAAATATTTTATATTTTAAAAAAAATATTAATTAATATTCACGAGCAATATTTAGGACATGAAAAATATTTATGAACGATACATGTGATTATTTAATTTTATAGATATAGAAAATAGTAACATATCTATCTAGTCTCAATCAAATAAATGCACTGCTAGAAAGTTGAGTAATGTGACATGTTAATTATAAAATATTAATATTAGTGAAATAATTAGAAAGGATTATTTTAAAATTCCATTCAATACAATTAATTATTTTTAAATACATTGACAACTAAATTTAAAATAATACTAATATGCATTATCATTCATCTAAACTCTGAAATTTCAATGGTTGCATGTCTCTTTTGTCTTAATTTTTTTTAATATGAAAATTATTTTATTTTCTAATATCTAACTTTTCCTTAATTTCTTTTAATTTAAAGTTATAATATAATTCAAATTAAATATGACTTTCAAGATTAAAACAATATTAGAAGGAAGAATGACATTTAAAGCCCTCTCACAAAATTTTATCACAATAAAAATCCATCAATTTTATATTAAATATTATCTTGTGAATATATATATATATATATATTGTTATTAAAAGTTAAATCTTAACTAATATTTTTTATTAGGATTTCTTAACAAATTCACAAGATAATATCTGATATCAAACTAATGGACCTTTATTATAAAAAATTATTTTAAGAGGTCTTAAATGTCATTGTTCCATGTTAAAAATGTAAAGCGGGTATAATGCACAACTACCATGCCCATTACAGCAGGTCGATTTTGGTTGATGTTTTCCCTCAACAAGCTATGTTCCCTGTCTTTTCATGTTGTGTGGATCGATGCATGTGAACTTGGATCTCCTGTGCGACTGTATATATCATCAGTATCTGTATGGTACATTTATAAAAGAAAATAAGTATTTGTAAAATATGATAATTATTATTTAATCCGTAAAAACTTATCTGACATTTTAATTCTTGACAAAATGGTATATCTATTCCCATTATCTATTATAAAAAACAATTATTTTGATTGTGTTATTGATTAAAACAAAACAAAAATTTCCTTCCACAAATTTATTTGTCAATAAAGCGCAACTATGGAGAGCATTGAACAGCGTTAAAACAATTATGGAAAATAAAAATGGTCGATGTGTCTTCTTAGTATGACCATGGAGAGCGCATTGACAGCGTTAGCCACGTCCTGCCAGTCCTTCTGACGGAGGCTTTTGTGGTTGAGTTGCATATAACGGCGACCCCAAGCATCAACGGGGGGTGGAGGTAGCTTCCTCTGTCTAGCAATCTCTGCGAACGGCATCGAGCTTTAATGGTTCGCAGGCGACGAGAGAGAGAGTTGCTCAATTATCCCCCATCGGAGAAGGAACGATGACTAGCCAGATAGGAGAAAGATGAAGATCAGGTGAATCTGGTCAAAGTGGAAACAATGAGAGAGAAACAGGAATATGAAGAGGAAGATGAGGGAGAAGAGTTCAGTATAGCCACATGAGATCAGAGAAGGGGAAATGGGATTGAGATAGATTTTTTTTTTTTTGGATTTTAAATTTAGGGTAGTATGGTAATTTGATAAAAAAAATTAATATCAAAAGAGTTCCCTGAAACTTCAGCTTAATTAGACTATTTTGTGGGACTTGTTTTCAACAATCCTTCGTTTGTTATTCTGCCATCTGAAAATTAGCCCAATAAAGTTTTCATGGCTATGCCCATATATGGAATATACACACACATATATATACATACGTATTGACTTCTTATGCCAAGAAATAAAAATAATACAAAAATAAATTGCATTAATAATCACCATATCAGCAAGTTTACAGTCATCATGAAATACCAAAATTAAGAGAATGACAGAAGTTAAACAAAGGTAAAGTGGAGCTGGCTTTACTTCACTTCCTCTCATTCTTGGAGTAAAATCTCAAAACCAAATAGAAGAAGAACCTGTAAAGGACACCCCAAGCCAGAAGAATCGCTACATCAAACCAAATCTTCTCTATCTGAATATCCATGGTGGCCAAAACATCTTCTCCGATTAAGCCAATCGGACAGTTCGACCTATCATGTCCTTCACTCTTCTTCACATCTCCCAATGGCCCCGGAGACAAATCCGATAAGCTCCCTGTGTAGCACCGTTCATTCTTAAACTCATTAGTCAACAATGCTTCAAACGGATACTTTATCGCAGAAATATAGTGAAGCCATTTCCAGTACGGAGGAATCTGAGTTCTCTTGAGGAAGAAGCCACAAGTCAGAAAGAATAATGCCGTCGTGGCGATCACCACAGCATAGCCTGTGATATAACTGGGAACAAGAGCACTGACTAGCATGACGTAAGCATTGGTGGTGATGAGAGAAGCATAAAGAATCAACCAGAAATAGAAAAGACTGCTTTTGAGGCGAAGCATGAATTTGGTTATGAGAGCGAATGTGAGGCCTTGGATTGCGAAGAATGGGAGATAAACAATCAGTGAAGAGATCACGTATGAAGAAGCACGATAAGCATTATGGGAGGTTTCCCTGATGAAGATGAATCTCTCGAGGATGAACGATGGAACGGCGTCGTTGGAGGAGAAGAAGACGAGGCACACCGAGAAAATGTAGAAGTTGAGAATCCTGTTGATCTCTTTGAAGGTGGGGTGACTTAGGTTCTTGAAGATGGTGGAGAGGACGAGAGCCATTACAGTTAGAACAATCTCACGAGAAAGGAACAGTTCTGGGGTTCGAATCACGTTCAGGGCAGTTCGCCATGAAAGCACTGCGACCTCACGAAGCCATGGATTAGCGTACTTTGGCCCAACGTTTGGCTCATCAAGAACTTCAATGTCAAACTCCTCATAGGAACTTACGCAGGAGTCCAAGGCAAACGATTGACTAACCATAGATGGTGTTTTGGGATGATGATAAGGCTCCTCGTATGATGCTGAAAACTGGTTCATCAAAACAGTGCTTCCTAGTCCGGACATAGGAGTTTTCGCCGGCGTCCAACCCGGTGTTCTAGCCGGAGTCCAGGATGGGCGGCGAGGGGTTCCTATCACACCATGGTAAAGCCAAACAGAGAAATCTTTGGCAGAGAAATCCTTATAAAACTGAGAAGCCAAACGAGGATAGACACCGCTGGTCATGGTATTACAAGTCCTAGGGGTGTGAACACTTTTCCTTTCAAGAGAGTTATCAAAGTCCTCATCATCGACATCATCTTCATGATCACCATGAATGTTATAGCTAAATTGTGCAGAATCTGCAGGCTGTGTTGTTCCAGCTTTGAAGCCCTGGCTTTTCAGGCTAATCATGTGCTTTGATGCGGGTGTGTTGCTGATCTTTTTATAAATTGTTCTTGGTGTCTTCCAAATGGTGTCTTGGCAGCTTGGTCAGGCTTCAGGCCGTCAAGATTGTATTGAACAAGTGGGTCGAGTCCAACGTTGGATTCATCAAATTCTTTTATTACATCTAGGAGATATTCTAAGCTGTTTTCTCCATCAGGTACTGTTCTTCCAAACCCAGAAAGATGAGAAGTGACTGCACTTGGCTCTCCCATGTATATCAATCTTCCCCTGTTGTCATACATAATATTATTGATTCAATTATCTCAAGTAACAACTTCTAAAGCCACTTGATCAGTAACTTGAGAGAAATTGGATTCCCTCATAACTACATTTTTATGCCTAGAAAGAGAGAAATTAGCAAATATGAACAGGATTTTATATTTGACAAGCACAATGTTCTGGGAAGAGAATAACATGAAGGTGGGTTGATAAGTAAGCCCCACTACGTAAATGGACTTCACCTGATTAGTGATTCTCATTTAAAGGATGAATGGACCCCACCTTATGCTTTTATTATGTGTGGGCAGGATATCTCCTGATCCTCTCCTCCTGGGCTCCCTCCTGCCCTCACAATCACATGGTAGGGGAACTGAGAGATTTCGATCCTGAGAGAGTTTCGGTCCATCATGTGTGTGTGTCTCTCTCTCTCTTCAAATTAAAGTTGTCAAATAGAAAATCTTGGTATGAAAAAAAAAAAAGGTTTTTTCTTTGGCAGGAACCATGTCAACAATGGAACCATTAGTTCCGTACTCTATCTCTCTACACTAAGCTAGACTACACTCTTGAAGAGATTCAAGTTGGAGGTTGGTTTGAAGATTGCACCTTGCAAGGATAGTGACTCGGTCTAGGAGCATTTGAATTCTGTAGGAGGGCTGATGAATGGTCATGAGCACGATGCTTCCACCTCGAGCAATATCCTTAACCTTTTCGACGACACTATAAGCACTTGTTGAATCAAGACCTGAGGTTGGTTCATCAAGGAACAGAAGTGATGGCTTGTGGATTATGTCTATGCCAATGGAAACCCTTCGTCGTTCTCCTCCTGATACTCCTCTGTTCCCCTCATCACCTATATATGTATGTGTCGCACTCTGCATAATCATCATTCAAAAACAATCCATATAAAGATATTTGAGTGGCCTATTATAACCACAGTCTTAGATTATACCACATCATCATATTGTTCCTCTTTTATTTCTATCATATCAATTGAGAGAAGTAATATGCTTCTGTTCGATCATTTGAAGAAAAATCAAATATGAATCCCAATTTTTACATATCCTTTCAAAGATCTTTCCATGAACCGATGTGTCACACTCTTTCCAAACTTTCACAGAGAGAGAGAGAGAGAGAGAGAGAGAGAGAGAGATTTAATACCTGCAAGCCAAGCTGATCAAGGAGCTCGTAAACCCTTTTCTTCTTTTCCTCTCTGGAAATAGAAGGAGGAAGCCTGACCTCAGCTGCGAACATAAATGTCTCAAAAACAGTCAACATGGGAAACAGCTGGTCATCTTGCATTACATAAGACGACACCATCTTCATGTAACTTGTTGTCACCTGATGACATGATCAACAACAACAACAACAAAACCTCACATCAGTGTTAATCATCATCCTTAATATATCCGCTAAGTCAGAAAAGAAAAAGGAAATCAATACAATAGCATATATGTCTATATAGTCGCGTACTGGTTTTCCATCAATTCTGACTGATCCTTCCAAGCTGCCTTGTGCAATTCGACCAGCCAACGCATCAAGAAAAGTGGACTTTCCGGCACCACTAGGTCCCATGATCGCCATAACTTCGCCTCTCATTGCTTGACCAGATATATCATGAAGAAGATAGGCTTCTTTCTTTACCCAAACTCCATCTTTCTTCACCTTCTTCACCACACTATACGACAGATTATTGAACTCCAGGCCATACCCGGGAATAGACTTCTGCGGCCTCAGTTGCTTCTTCGTCGTCGTCGTTTTAACCTTGTTCAGCTCCAATAAACTCTCTAAGCTCTTGTTCGTTCCTGCTCTATCTAGCCTCACCATTGTTATTATTGCTGTTGTTGTTTGCAGTGATCGATATTTAATTTCTCTCACTTCTCACTCCAACTCCATGCACTTTTCGTTTTCTTCTATATGGGGCCTTCTTTTGGATTCCCAATGTGGGTGGTGGGGATGTTAATTATAATATATTATGAATGAAGTATGTGCCTGTCTCTGTGTGTGAAAGGCATATAAGAAGAAGCAGAAGGTGAAGTGAGGATAAAAGGTTGTGGAAGGAATATAATTAGGGTTCGGAGTTTGGAGAGATTGAGGAAGACAATAAGAACAGAACGGAGAATCAGTCGGACAGCAACTATAAGATTACAAAACCATTGGGTTCCTCGTTAGGCTTCCTTTGGTGGTGCCGATCAAGAGTTTTCCAGTTTTGTTTATTTCTCCAGCATTGTGACAACTTGCATTTGACCTATCACTAGATCTAACAATATAGCATCTTCAACAATATAGCAAACATATATATATATATATATATATATGACCCCATGAGTCTGGACTTTACATTTCATCCAAATTTTTTCAATAAAATCGACAAAAAGTTAGATTACATCGGGCTGTGAGTTGGGTGAGAGTGTAATTTACCAATTCATGTCATCATCTGTAAAATAAAAAATAACTGCATGTAATATCAAAAGAGAAAAATGTAAAAGAAGAGATATGCAATTACTGCCTTACTCTTTTGGTCATTTTCTTTTTTATAACTTCACGACTGCAAATTTTTATTTGATAGTTCAATCACAGCACGACTATCTACCGAATAGCATGTTGTATAACTGAATCTCTAGATTATTTTTAATTGTCAAATTTAAAAAAAAAATAGTATGGCATATTGAAGAACAAACATATTGGCGAAAACTTCAGGTGAAAAATTTGGACTGGCGTGAATTCGAAGGGGAAGCCAATAATGTTAAATTTTCAACTATATGTATCACTGAATTCTAAGGTTGATTATCTCGTATAATCCTGAAATCCTTGTCCACGCACGTTCAAGTCATGACTTATAATATTCGTCACATGTCACTTCAAAATATGCATGACCTGTAATGGGGAAGAAGAACAAAATCATTAGCTTGCACAACAGACAAAAGCAAGAATAAAAGGTGAGACGATCAGTTGACAAACTGAAAGATATTTAAGAATAAGAATTAGAGGGGAAAAGCAAAAGCCAAACAGGAAACTTTAGAACTAGAAGTGAGTGTAATATGCCCTACATGAAGATCGCTTAAACACTGTTTTTATTATTCAAAAATATGTTTTTATCAAAGATAAATTTAAATATTGATCCATCATATGGTGTGAGGACTTAACCCATCCATGTCAAAGCTGTTCCATTTTGATTCCAAATGATACTATTATTGCACATATTAATTTCTTCAGTTGATGGACATAAATGAAGTATAAAAAATTTAAAAAATAATTACCTTTTTTACAAAAAAAAAAGGGGGGGTGCTTGGATTGGAATTGTGTGTGGTTATCTGGTAATTAATTTTTAAAAAATTCTTTGATGCATTAACATGTTTTTACGCGTGAGAAGGCTACTTTAAATTGGGAAACCATATGTTTGAGGAACTAATTAATCGAAAATGTTTATGTTTCAATGGAGCAAAAAAGATAAAAACAATCTTAATTTAGAGACTAAATAATTAATTTATTGATAGGGGACGCGGAAGCAGAATCATGCTAATTTAGGGACAGAACCCTGACACAACAAAAACACAAGAACCAAAAAGAAAGAGACAAAATTTATGATGAAAATAAAAAAAGATATGAAATAAATAATCGAATAATGATCAAAGAGAAAATCCTTTAGAGCACCTGTCCCTAGGAACCTCAACCTTTGAAAACACCACAAGAGTTGATTATGCTCTTGATCACGTTTGTTTCTCACACGAGATGCCACCACAAAGCACTAAGGCTCACAAGAATTGTAAACTCTAAAATAAATAATTTTATTCAACTTCTTTTCTGTTTACAAGAGGGAGCATGCCTAATTTATATAGGTTCATTGAGAAGAATATTTTCTAAAATTAAAACCCTAATTTCCTGATACTAAAAGAAAAAATAATGATAAAATATTCAGCCACATAGTTTAGGAGATGTGATCCTAAAATTATGGGATTACAAAATTTAAAAATTAATACTATAATTAATTCTAACCTTTCACTAGACTCAAAATAGGAAATCAAACCAAAGGACCATTAAAATAGGAAATAATTTAGGAGACAATCAAGGGATCATAAAGGATTTAAAATCACGCCACTCTTGATTTCTTCACTAGGGTTTCATGCCTCCTTACTTGCAAGAGGCTCAACTTGCAATTTTCCTTGCATTGGGCTAAGGTATGCATCTCTTGGGCTTGACTCTTCATGAGTTTAGATCTTAAGTACATTATACATGTATAGATGCTCTCCTTTGGGCTTGAAAGGAGTGCCCTAATGCTCTCCAAGCTCTTGAACTTCTTGCACAAGACTAAACAAAGCTTGCTTCATGGCTTTAGTTTGGGCTCTTGTCATTAGACCTCTAATATGTTGTAATGGGTTTTTAGGTACGTTGGATTGGAAGTATTGGACTCCTTCCATGTCATCATACTCATGATTACCATCCTCAACCTTCGTTGCCATTAATGCTATGTCATCCATACTATGGGGTCCATCATTTACTGTCACATAAATATAAACTTGATTTCTTTTACATTCACTCGCTACAAAGTTATATTATTAAAAAAGTGCTCTACCAAAGAGTGCGTAATTGATTTATATATACATACAATGTTCGAGGAGTTAGCAAGGTGTCAAGGACGATTATATTGAAAACAAAATTCAACATTTGGGTGATCAAAAGCCGGCCAGAAATCAAATAAAAACTAGAACTGTAAATTAAAATTAAATTATATATGTGCATGAGAATGAATTATTAAGTAGATTAATTAATTAAAGTTAAAGCTTGGCCGGTGCTCATTGAGATATCAGCTGCTCATAACACATTTTGGCTTGAATCTTTCTCTCTGTCTTTTCCCATTCGTCAACTTATGATTTAGCCCGTTCATAAGAAGATGCACATACACACACATGCTTGTTAATTAAGCTATATATAGAGGACACACACACACACACACACACACACACACACACACAGCCACACACCCTGCGAAGCACATTCATTTTGTACACTGTGAAGTGGACTGTATTGCTCATCAATAGCGAAAAGGAAGGGGGGAAAATAAGAGGCGTACACTAATTCGAGGTATTGGGACGGTTCAAACCAATCGTAGCATCGAACAAAGACTTGATTCTATGGTTTGATTGAGCCGCGCCAATATCGCGCGTCTTGTATATAAAATATATCCACTAAATTTTTTTCCCTCTATTTTGGGGCAGCTTGATCGATGTTGTTCATGGGGCGAGCTTTGAGGTAGAACCAGCCTGATGAAACTGTGAAAATAGTGTTGGATTTTGATGTAAAAATGACAAGGTTCTAGCTAGATATCTAAATCAAGGTAAGTTCAGGTAAGCTATCAAAATCACGACTTTTCAAGCAGGGAGAGAATATTTTTACGTTGATTAAATATTTTTTAGTCTCTTAATTTTACATAAAATTTTTTTTCTCTTAATTTTATAAAATATATTTTAATTTTTTAATCCAACACCGTTAGTTTCTTCACCAAAAAAAATTATATTAAATTTTTAAATATTAATAAAATATTATCAAATATTAACTTATTAAGTTTAATTTTAAAAATATTAATGATTGACACAAAAAAATAATCATTTAAAACTAACGATATTAGAGTTAAATGACTAAAGATATACTCCATAAATTAAGGGACCAAATTGAAATTTCATATAAAATTAAAAGATCTAAAATACTCACTCCTTTAAAAAATGTAAGTATTTTTAATTAAATCTCAACTTTCAATAAAATAGTTACCTATTTTTAAACTAACTTTATTTTTTATATTTATTCCTATTAAATACCTTATAATAAATATAAAATTATTATCAATAGGGACACTTTTAACAAAAAGGCAATAATTACACTTCAAAAGATTAATTAAAAATGCCTTATATTTTTTGAATATTCAAATTTTCAAAAAATATCTTAAATTTTTGAACGGGAAGAATATATTTTAACCTTTTGCATTTATCTAGAGAAAATTAAGCATCTTGTGATCCTGTCATCTTCATGGAAGTACTTATGGTCGAACTTAATTGGATTGGATTCTTCATGATGATCTATATACTTAAGACAGTAGGATGACGAAGATTTTTGTGTGTGTGTGTTGTGTGTGATATTTAAAAATTATATGATTATTGACTAACGAGTACGCAGAGATCTTGATAGAGTTCAAGTCCTGTTATGCTTGTTATTCTGTAATATATCGAACCCAACTCGTTTCATATAATAATTGATATATAGATAGATAGATAGATATGTAGAGAGAGAGACAGGATGCATTAAAATTACAATAAAAAAAATTGACCTAAAGCTGAAAATAAAGGTTTTTGATTTTTCACCCAACATATAGATGGGTTGGGAGTCTCTAATGTGCCATTATCTAATGTCAATTGTAATGTCTCAAGTTCTCAATTTTTTTTAAATTTTTTTGGATTAATGAATTTTACTTAAAATAAGAGACATTTGAAGATCTTAAAGTCTCAAAATGGTAAAGATTTGTATTTTTTTATGATTTTTTAAAAATAAAAGGTACAATTTTAATATTTTCTTTAAAAATTATAAAAAATATAAATTTTCATCATTTTAAAACTTTAAATATTCAAATGCCTTTTATTTTAAATAGAATCTGATGATATAAAGAAAAAAGAAAAAAAATTGAAAACTTGGAACATTACAGTAAGTATTAGAGACACATTATATACCTCAATCCTGTATAGTTATGTTTTAAAGCAAAAGAAAGATGGTGTCTACCTCAGAAAAGTCAGTATGTATTAGTTCTTGTTTTTGGATCTGTAAGCAATATCTAACATGAA